AACTGGATCCTCTGTGCCAGACCCACTGGGGTCCATCCGCTGCTGGGCAGCAGGTCCTGCCCACAGGTAGAGCAGTGCTGTCCCCCTCGCAGGGCTGGGCAAAGCTGGGGTGAGCAGTTCTAGAGTTTGGTGGCTCTGTGCCGCATCGGGGCAGGTCTGCAAAAAGTTGAGCCTGGAGGAGAAGGGAGGAACCGAAGGTGCCCTGTGGGGACGTCAGCTGCGAGAGGAGAGGCTGATCTGACAGAGGAACAAGGTTTGGTCCTTTGGGTAGCTCATAAGAGCATCTGCGGTTTGGTTTGGTGGGTGAAGCTCCCTTCAAAGGGGACATTCAACCCATGCATGGTACAGCGGGTACATTTGGCTCCTAGCAGTGGCAGGAATCGCCGGGGGACGTGCTGTGGCTCTGCCATCACAGAAATCATCTGCCGTGGTCCTTGGGGGGGCCTCTGGAGCCCTGGCCCACAGCAACTCAGGAGCGTGTTGTCTCATGGCCATGACCAGATGGGCTTTTGGTGGGGCTCGGCAGCGAATGAGGGGAGAGCTGCACCCCACCCTGGCTGCTGCTGCATCTCGGGGAGCCCTCCGGCTCTGCCCGGGCTGGGGGCAGCAGGGAGCGGTGGGAGAAGCCGCCGTCGTTCTGTTGAGGGTATTTCTAACCGGAGGTGCCGGTGTGCGGTGGGGGAGCAGAGCCAGGGCCAGCTGCTCGGGTGCCAGAGCAAGGCTGGGGACAGGGTGCTGCCTGGAGCAGCGTTGTGGAGCAGAAAGCCCACGCTGCAATGCCAGTGGCATTGCCCTGCTCCCACCCAGGACTTGCTGCTCCTGGACTGACGTGTGTGTGGGGCCAGGCACGAGGACCCCTCTCGTCTGCCTGCCAGGGAGCGCCATGCCCTGCTCCACAGGGCCCTCAGGCATGGGAACGCCATGGGAAACTAGCATGGAAATAATTAAAATGTCCTCTCCTAATCCTGGGAGGGAGCTTGGGAGCAGAAGCATGTTAGGGAAAGGCTCTTCTCTGCAAAGACCCTGATGGGCAGCGGCATCCAAGATGGAAACCCTGCGGGACATTTGTGAGCTGCGGCTTTGGGAGCTGTTGGGAGCTGGGAAGTGGTTTAGTTCTTGCAATTAGGGCTTCTACATTTGTTTAATGGCTTTCCTGAATCAGAGGGAAAATGGCCGAGGGGGTTTAGGCACAGGAGTCTGCTCTAACTTTGTTTTGCTTTGCCTGGGATCGCTTCAGCCTTGACCTCACCTGTACATCCAGAGCAGCCAGGCTGAGGGGTTTCCGCAGGAGATGCTGGTCTGTGCCCTGCACTCCTGTGCCGGAGGGGGCAGAGCCAGGCAGCCCACGACCTTCTCGGCCAGAGACTGTGAAAGGTTTTATTTAGCATGAGGGAGAGTTTATCACATTTGTACTCTGCAGGGCACCAAGCTCAAGCCTGGGAGAGGCAGGGGTTAGGGCAGCCCCAGCACCAGGCTCCCCCAACCCCTCCTGAAGAGCCGCCTGTCCCGGCTGAGCAGAGGGGTCCCTGGGGCAGCATCACTGCAGGGAGAGGGGGGGAGCAGCAGCAAGCTCCCTGCCGCTCCCCACAGCTGCTCTTTGCTGCCTTTCCAACACCTCAGCTGTGTTTTACACATCCTGGATCCAACCTGGCAGGTTAAACAGCCTGCTCATCCACCAGCAAATAAATATATGCAAAAGCCTGGATTCCTTCCAGTGAGGGAGGCCTGCTCCCAGGCTGTCCTTAGCCAGGTTGCTCAGCTCTCCGATGAGCCGGCAGTGTCCAGGTGGAAATACCGCTCATGGGAAATGGGAACAGAGCTCTGACCCCAACGTACGGGACCTCCGCCTGCCTGGGATTGTGACAGTCCCTGTCCTGCCCGAGGTCTGGGAGCAGGAGCAGAGGCTCCATGCTTGTCCTTGTCCCTGTGTGGGGAGAGGTGTGTGTGTCTCCGTGCCCTTGCCGAGGGTGAGCATGTTTGCAGCCAAAGCTGCCCCAGGGGGGGTCTCTGCAGTGCCAGCAGCCCCCAGGTGCCAGCAAAAGCCCCAGGTCCCTCTGCCCAGTGCAAATGGGGTTGATTTGCCTCTTTGCCTACAGTGGAGGCTGGCTGACCAGAGGAAAATAAAAGTTGGCAGAATCTGGGCAGTTCTGATGCTAGAGGCAGAGGATGGGGGATGAGGCCAGGCAGGGACACCGGCCGTGGGGTGAGAAGTGGTCTCAGGTCTGGAAGCCAAAGCTGCTGCCCAGGAATCAGTTAAGGATCTGAATCCTGGGCCCGTGGTGACTGGCGGTTGTGTGTCTGTGCTATCACAGGACTGTTGCTCAGCCCCATTTGGGGATGCCCTGGCTCTCGGGAAGCCTCCTGACCGTCCTGGATGTTCCAAGCCCTGGGCGAGCACAGCTCAGCAGCAGATGGTGGGCCCCAGGGTGTGATTGCGCATCCATCTGCCCTCGCTGCTCCTTCCTCGGGGCTAGCAGCAGACTGAGTGGCGGGAGCCAAGCACTCCGTGTCTTGTCATATTTGGGCATTTTAATTAGAGAGGAGCAGGCCTGGGGCAGCGTTGGAGGGAGCCTGGTGTCAGCGGGTGCTGCCATGGGCCCTGCAGCACCCCGCGTCCCGGGCTGGCGCCGCACATGCAAACCCTGATGCTGGTCCGTGGGCACCAGCCCCCTGCCCCTCTGGGTGCCACCGTACCGGGAGGTACCAGGCACGCAGCCAGCCCCGTCCCACACTTCGCATGCACCGGCTGCTCTGACAACTAATTCAGAGCATCCTTTCCTCTCCCGGGCACGTTTTGAGCAGAGATCCTGACAGGTGAAATTGCAGGGTCCCTGGCAGGACGCACCCCAGAGGAATCTGGTCTCTGCAGGGGGGAAGCTCCGAGCTGGGGGCTCTGATCAACGTGCTGCCCGGCTGCTCCCTGCAAGGCGAAACTTCTCCTGTGGACCCGCGACTGCTCTGATTTACTCTGTGTGGCTGCGGGGAGGCGAGAGGGAGGCTTGGTGTGAATGAGCAGGCTTCCTCCTCTAGCCTGAAATTTGGGTCACGCAAGCCAGCATAGCAGGGCTGTGATAGATGTAGTTCCTCCTTGGTTCAAGCCCAAGCAAGCTTTGATTTCCAAGGTGCAACTCTTGATGGTTCAGAGGGTCCATCTGAGCCGCTGGTTTCATTAGCGGATCGGCACGTGGAAAGAGGTGAGAAGGGTTTTTCCCCTCCCTGATCAGCTCCCACATTGCTAATGTTCCTCTCTGGCCCGCTGCTAATTTTGACGCTGCCCTAAATAGAAGCTGAGTGCATCTCATCTGCTTCGCTTAGCATACAGGAAAATTGTCTTCCTTCATTTACCAAATCCAACTCGCGGCTTTAACCCTGTCAGCACAAGTCTCTCCCCGTTGCAGACCTCCCTTGAAGGTCTTTGCGTGCCCCTGCCCCAGCGAAGAGCTCTCTGCTGGGAATGGCACTGCGTGTGTAGAAGCAGGGCTCTCGGGCCACCCTGGGTGGCCGCCAGCAGAGCTGGGAGAGGGGCTTCGCTTCCCGACCAGCCCAGGAGATCCCTTTCTCCGCTGAAAGCTCCGGCGCTCTCAGCCGGCTCTCCCTGTGCTCCCTCCATCTCTCTGGCTCGGTGCACTGCTCCGGGAGGGACCCGGTGCCCCTGCCCAGACTGGCCTTCCCCAACCCTGTGCTGGAAGATAGCTTAGCACAGGCAGACCCAGTTGTAGGAGTTTTGGGTTGGTTTCTGTTGGGGGTATTTTTTTCCAGCAGCTGGTGGGACCAGCGCAGCACGCAGGGGACCCTTCCTGAACCTGGCAGATGCCCCTCTTATTGCTGTCTAACTTTATATCCCATTTTGAGTGGCTCCTTGGAAAGATCTGCTGTTCCTACTGCACCAGCCGCTCCAGAGCAGGACTCTGGGTTTGTCCTCCCAGCACAGGGCACGCAGCCCCTCTCTGTGCTGGAACTGGACACAACACAGCGCTGTCGAAAGGCTTTCTCGGATGTGAACCCTTCTGCAGCATGACTTAAATATATCACTGTCTAGTGCAAGGTGCTTATTTGGGGATCTTGTGCAAGAACTGTTTTCCTGAAAAACTTATAATTTTGTGGCATTTGCAGCTCAGTGACTGTTACAACAAGTGGTGTGCTGAGGATACGGGAGCACCGAAAGGAAGCACTGGGGGTGCAAGGGCAGTGGCCTGCAAAGGTTAGATTTAGCGGGTTAGAAAGGATGGCTGAGTGCTGGCATGCCTCAGCTGGAGCTGAGCCTCAGCTGGGCACAGAACACCACGTCTGCCAGGGCGTCCGTGTGGTTCCCTCTCGTCCCTTGTGCTCCTGACCGTGGTCCCTCTCTGAGCCCACCCCGCTTGGCCAGCCCAGAGGCTCTTCCCCACGGCACAGCGCTGGGGCGAATGCTGTCCCCTTTCCTCCCCCTCTTTCCCTTTCAGCCTCCCGTTTGTTCTGAGCGTTCGAGACTCTCTGCAGCAACAAAGGCTGCTCTGTGCGAGGCTCGTCTGCTCACTGGTAGGAGCCCAGCTTCGATTCGGGTTGCAGAAGTGCCCAGAGCCTCCGGGGTCAGTCACAGCACGAGCGGCCTGTTGGAGGGGCCGCAGCTCTCCACGGACGCCCAGTCTCACGGAGCACAAGTCCCAGAGCAGCTCTTCGCCCCACTCCCACTCAGGGATCCCTGCGGGCGAGGGGACCTCGCGATGCTCTGCCCGTGGCCTCCTCTAGGACGATGGGGTTAGATTGTCCATGCTGAAGGGTGGCAAGAGAAAAAGGGAGAGGTTAGTCAGAGCCGGGAGGACAGAGGGACCACGTAGCTGTGATTCCCAGCAGGTTGCAGGCTGCGGGGCTCAGCAAACTGCAGGCACAGCCAGGAGCCGGGCTCTGAAAGAGCAGGAGAGGGCACGACGCGTTGCTGAGGCTACGTCGGACAGAACGGTTGGACACGGGGAGTCGTTTCAGGTGTTCTGACTCTCTTCTGTATTTTATTGCCTTTCCAGAAAATCAACCGGACCCCTTCGGATGAGGAATGCTTCTTTGACCTGTTGAGCAAGTTCCAGAGCAACCGGATGGATGATCAGCGCTGCCCGTTGGAAGAATGCCCATCGGAGGCTGCAGAGGCGGCTGCCACACCGGTCCCTGCCCTGGAAGAGCGGATATGTAAGCACCGACGCGTTTATAAGTCGCTATCACCGTGGGGGTGATGCTGCTCCCGTGGTGTGGCCAGCTGTCGTGGTTTTACTGTGAATCTTGCAATGTTTTCCCTAAGCCTCAGCTCTCTCAACTTAGCAGTCCTTTGGCAATCTCCATCATTATTTAAGGAAGAAAGAAACATTCTTATGTTAATGGTTGCGGAGGGAAAGGCTGGAGAATACAAATTAAGGCTTGGAGAGTAAACCAGCAAGAAAAATGCAAAATATACTTGGATTTTTTCAGTACGGCTCTTTTGAAGGTCTGGCCTTCTGAACAGTGAGGTTGGCACGAGGACTTCTGCCTCTGCCAGCATCTCCAGGAGGAAGATGTTGATGGTCATTACCGAGGGAGCCTTGAAAGAGCCTGGAGAGCTGGGGCAGAGGGCTGGGGCAGGCTTTCACAGGCAGGCTCAAGTATTGCCAGTTTTTCTCATAGTGTTGCCATGGAGGAAAAACAACTGGATTTTGTACAGTTCTTGGATGCTGTGGTGATAGGTTCTGTGTAAGAACAGAGGAGCCAGAAGGATGGATAAACAGTAAGGAGCTCCAGCAGGCAGACAGCTAGCTCACCCGAAGGAAGAACAGGGATGAATTGAGGAAGCTGTCTGACAAATAGATGGGACAGGAAAGACAGGTTAGGTCTGTGTTTGTGCTTCGGTTTCGTGTCTTTTTTTATGATATGGTGCCGAGGTCCTTTGTTTAAACCAAGCTGGAGAGAAGCACTACAATGTGCAGGTCACACATGTACTCTTAAGCACCATCACGAAGGGCTCAAAACACTTCATTTGAACCGATGGATTTGTTTATTCGTTTCCAAATGAATGTGAAGTACAACCAGGAGAGGAGGAGACCCCGACATCCCCCCGAGTGCGGCGAGAGCTGCGGCACACGAGTGCTCAGAGTAGGGGCCAGGAGCAGGGACCGAGGCGGCAGCGAGAGCAGGGCAGTGCAGGGAGGGTCAGGCTGTGGCAGGAAGGCAGGTTGGCTGCGAGGTGAGCAGGCTTTTACCTTCTAAAAATAGGGTGGAAATGAGCATCACTTTTTCAAGACACACATTTCTGATACAGAAGGGTGTTTGGCTTTAACAGATGTGTAATTTAGGAGACTGAGTTTAAAATACGAAGCTTTATAAAGAATGTACAAGTAGGCGCTTGTTCTGTTCAGCTCTCATTTGGCCTCTGAGCCTTTCGGACAGGTTATTTTCAAGGTTTCTCTGTGAGCTGCAGGGAAAGAAACTCATCTTTGCGTCAGCACTGAGATTTTTACGTGTTTCTGCAACTCCACAAGCTGGGGCTCTAAAAAGAGCACGTCATGTCGGGAGGCTCGGGGCACTCTCTGCTCAAGCACTTTGTGCTCACTGGGACAGCAACCCCCAGTCGGGCCGGGTTTCGCACAGTTTTATTTTGCTTGTCCCCCATCCTGAGCGCAGTGTCTGTTGTTTGGGAGCCTTTCGCTGCCCAGCAGCTGCCAGGAGCCAAACGGCTCTTTCCATCGAGCGCTGCCAGGGCTGGGGGCTGACTCGCTCGCTTTGCCGAGGTTCTGCCGTTGCTCATGTGCTGTGTTGGAAAATCCTCCCTTTGTCCCGTTGTCGCTCAGCTCCGCGGGGGACGCTGCGTGCGGGGCCGACGTCTCCTCCAGTGCTCCACTCCACGGCTGGAAAGCACCAGGTGGTGGGTGTCGGGATGGGATATTCCCCCCAAGGGCTTACAGAGTATAGGTTATACGTATAGGTTCTGGACTAGGAACCCCCTGACACCAGCTCCTGCCAGCCCCCACCTTGGGCAGGCAGAGCCCAGGCTGGCTCCGCTCTGTGTGCTAAGAACCAGATCCCACGGGTGTTTTCCTCACGCCCCCCGTGATGCCCAGCCTGGGAAGGACATTTTGCCAGGTGAGTGGTTTAGCCAGCCTGGGCTTTGCCCACTACCCACCTGTATTGCAGGGCGAGGCACTGCTGCCCGTCACCGAGCTGCACAAGCGCTCGGGAGCCCTGAGCTCGCCGGCAATTGCCGGCATCTGTGCCTCGATGCCTCTCGGCTCGAGGTGGAAACCAGAGTGGAATCAGCGGTGGAAGCTGCCTGTAGTTGCGCTGGAAACAAGGGTGATCGCTCACAGACAGCGGTTAATGTTGGGGCACTGGATCTTCCGGGCTGAGGTGGCATCTTTGGGGTCCTCCCGCAGCTGGCCAAAGCACAGTAAATAGCAGGGAGCCCCTCGTGGGAGGTGCAGCAGCGGGAGATGTTTACAGGAGGTCCTGCTCTTCACCCTGTCGAGGCAAACACTCTGCTGCCTGCTGGGTTTGTGCGTGCACGGCAGGCTCCTTGCGGGAGGCACGCTCCGGAGTGTACCGTAGTGTTTTCACAGCCCAGCCCCATAAATCGGATGTGTTCTTTTGTTTGCTGTCCAGGGAGCGTGCTGGAGGCAGCGCACGCAGCCCTGGGGGGAGCTGCGCTCCGGTTGGGCACGGAAGCTGCAGGTCTGCTGAAGCGGAGCTCCTCTGCTTCCCCCGGGCAGGGCAGGGCAGGGCAGAGGGTCCCACTGAAGGGAGCTGTGTGCGGGGCAGGCTCCTCGCACCCTGCGTGCAGGGCAGCACTGGGGAGGCAGCCCAGGGCCGTGCAGGGAGGCGGGTACCACGGGCTGCGCCACAGCCCCGGCCTTTGGAAAAGGGAGCGAGCGGTTGCGAATCGGGGCAGTAGGTTTTGCCCCCTGTTCCGCTTGTCGCTTTGCCGGTCTGACTTTGCTCGCTTGTGTTGCCGACGCCGGCATCGCTCCTGCTCCCCGGCGCAGGGTGGAAGGAGATGCTGACGGTCACGCAGACCAGCGCTGGGCTGCAGCCCGGGGGGCTGAATGGTGATTTTGGTGATGAGGAGGCTTTGGGCTTTCTGCGGAACGCGGCGCCGCAGCGCAGGCATGAGCAGGCAGAGCCGTGACCCTGGTGTGTGCTCCTCTCCCCGCTCGCAGCGCAGTCCTCCCTCATGGCGTCTCCGCAGACGGAGGAGTTCTTTGATCTCATCGCCAGCTCCCAGAGCAGACGGCTGGACGACCAGCGTGCCAACGTGGGCAACCTGCCTGGCCTCCGGATAACGCACAACAACCTGGGGCACCTGCGCGTGGAGGGGGATGCCCAGGAGCCCGGGGACGAGTTCTTCAACATGCTCATGAAGTGTCAGGTACCAGCGCGGGACGGGGCTGGCTGTGGGGACACACACTGGTTTCTCCCACACAGGCAAACGCAACCCCCACCCACCCACAGCCCCGGGCGCCCAGGTAGCTCCTGGGCTTGGCCTCCGGGTCCTCCTTTCTACCTGGGACCCTTTGTCTCTGCTCTGCCAGCGAGGGAGGCTGGAGAACCCCCCTTCCGCGCAGTGCCCACGGCCGGGGCTGGAGCCCGCAGTGGGGTGCAGCCCCGCTGGCCCCACTCCCTGCACCCCAGGCGGGGAGCACTTGCCCCGGGCCCCTCTTGGGCCCCGGTTCCAGCCCTTCGCTCCCATAGACAGGGTTGTCTGGGCAGTGCTCAGGCCTAAGGCCGCCTCTTCTCCTCCCTGTGCAGTCCTCCAGGATAGATGACCAGCGCTGTGCACCCCCAGACTCCATCCCCCGCGGCCCCACCATGCCGGATGAAGATTTCTTCAGCCTCATCCAGCGCGTCCAGGCCAAACGCATGGACGAGCAGCGGGTAGATTTGGCCTCGGCCCAGGAGGAGGCAGCAGAGGAGCAGCAGAGGCCTGGTTCCAGCTAAGAACTGGGGTTTGGTTTGATGGGGGGTTGGTTTTGGTTTAATTTTGTTTTGTAAAAAAAAAAAAAAAAAAAAAAAAAAAGCGTAGGGGGTTTCCCAAAGCTGTCCCAAGAGCTGGCCCCGGGACACGGGGAGCTGCGCCTCCGTTGTGCTGCACCCGCCTGCTCTGCAGAGGCTGTTACAGGGAGGCCCACGAAGTGGGGGACAGTTTTTAAACAAGGTGTTTTTTAGGACACACGGCCACTGTAACACCAGGCACAGCACAAGGGATGAAGACTTTGGCAGCCCCTTTCGCTTCTCACCTAAAAATCCAGGAACTTTTGCTGTCGGCCAAAGGAGGAGCCCAGAGCGTGGGTAGTTAACTCCAGCCTTGATGTCTTTTATTTCCACAACACTTTTAATGGGGGAAGGGAAAAGCACCTTTTCCATTTTGAAGTGCTCCTGTCTTGCCTGCATCACGAGGTGACACAAATTGTTCTGGATCCTCCCCTTGGAACATCTCGCTCAGCTTTGTTCTTTCTACAGGAGGAAACGAGCCCAAGTCAGAGGCCACACCAGCCCTTTTAAACCTCACCCCCACCTCTGCTGCAGTCGTGGTCCCACACACCTTAAAAGTTCATGTTGGGTTTGCTGAGGACTCTGCAGTGAGCCCTGTGTCACCCCCTCTGCTCCCCCAGCCATGGTGCAGAGCTGCACCGGGGCCTCCTGAGCAGGAGCAAAGCCTTGCTCATCCTGAGCAGTAGAGGAATTTGGTTACCTCTAGAGAAAAGCCGTGCAGCAAAGCCCAGCTCCTGCCTGGGACAAAGCCTGAGAAGAGGGGCCGGGGCCTGGGCAGGGGGAAGGAAACCTCTGCCCCTTGTTCAGCACCAGGCGAAGGCGGGCAGCGCGTCGCTTCTAGTGCTGCTGAGCCAAAGCCTCGTGCAGGGTTGCCCTGGGCGCAGGTGAGCGTGCCCGAGGCAGGAGCCAGCATTCGGCAAGGACCCGCTCTGGGAGCCAGCAGAGTCTGGTGGCCCCGGCTTATCGGTGTGTGGGGGCAGGCAGGACCCCCCCACATCCCCCCCCCGTCGGGGGTAACAGCCCTTCCCTGCCCAGAGCTGAGCTGCTCCTGTCCCTGCAGGCTCCGGCAGAGCTGCTCTCGGCCAGGCGCTTGGGTTTTGCCCTGTCTGTCTCCAATACACGGAGCCTCATGAGAGCTCCAGACTGGGGTGCCGGCTGGGAAGTCCGTTCCACCCCCTCACAAGCCAAGTCTACATTTACTTTCATTCCTTCCTCTCTTGGAACAGTTGGAAAAGCAAGCGCAGAGGAAGGGGAGCAGGAATCTAACTTCAGGAGGTGGAGTATTTTTTCTTTGCTTGACCAGATAGGCTATCTTGGACTTTAGAAACTCCAGTAATGAGTCTGCCAAAGCAGATGTGTTCCTTTAGAGAACAAATCAGCACTTTCTATTTGAAATGCATTTGATGGAAACATTTCCAACCAGCAGTAAGATTTTTAGACCAGTGATGCTGCTCATCGGGCATTTAACCTGCCTGCACTGACCCGTGGAGGGGTGGCTGCGTTTCACCTGCTGCCCGAGGCTCAGCCTCCTGCCTGGGGCTGGTCCGAGCTCTGGAAAAGGGACAGGACCTGCCCAGCCACCGCCGGACTGACCCAGCTCGCAGTTCTAAAGAGGAGGAAAACATTGAAGATGAAGATGACTTGACCAGCTGCAGGCTCGGACCTGTGCAGCTCTCGGCCAGGTGGTGAACTGGAATCTGACCGTTAAGCTTTCAGAGGTGTTAATTATTTGCCATATACTTGAATGTATGAGCTTATTTATTTTTTACATGTGCATTTGCTAATGTCATTTTAGTGGGGAATTTCCAACCCACAGGTACTTTTTTTTCTAAAAAAAAAAAATAATCTGCCAAATGAATTAATATATTAGAAATGAATACAGCTCAAGGGGAAGGGGGAGTTGTGCTTAATAAATATTTGTGTCTAAGCTTCAGTGACAACAATTTCCATTATTTTTTGGCCAGCCTACCTGCTTTGCCAACAGCAGAGCTGCTGCCGCCCCTGGGAATGGGGCTGGGCAGGGGTCTCGTGTGGCAGACATCACCACGTGTGTTATGAAAGGGGGTGTGCACACCCCCCTCCACCTCCCCTTAAATTAAGAGCACGCAGATCTCAGGCAGCGGCCACTGTCCCCAGTTCTGCCTGCCTTAAATGCAGAGCATCGCTCTGACTGCGGGGCTGTAGCAGGAGACACAAAGCCCTGAGCATTCCCTGCCCGGAGCAACAGCCTGAGCCCAGAAGTTTCCAGGACGACAGGACAGACAAACAGCCCTGCACTGGCTGAGAAAAGACCTTGCCTTTCAGGCCCTGCCCGGGGGTTCCGGCTCAGCCCTGTCTCGGTGCCTTCGCGGCGCCTGGCCCAAAACCCGGGTCTTGTTTCCCCCGTGGCAGCTGCCAGAGGAAAAGGGCAGCGAGTGCTGCGCAAAGCCCTGGCATCAGCCCTGGGGGAAGATACTCACAACGCAGCAGGCAGCAGCACTAGCTCATTCCAGCACAGCAGGCTCGAGCAGGCCATTAGACTTCGCTAGAAAGTGGGCCTGAGAGCAGCAGGTTTTGAATCCTGAGCCCTGTGAGGATAAAGCCAAGTCACAGCTGGTCTTCCCACGCCTGACTAACTTGTGCTGGCTGCTGCCCATCTTGAGCAAAGATTAATGAAGAGCCACCAGCTCCTTCTCCTCGGGTGTTCTCATGCCTCTTGGTGCCTGGGCACAAGAAGCTGGGTGCTAGAAGTCTCTGTGGGAGTTAGGGACAGCACCATGCCCCAAGGTACACGAAGGTTTAGATTCCCAGGAAGAGGTGAAATCCCTGTGTGTGATGGGGTCTCACCCGCCGTCTCTGTCCACAGCAGCCAGGGAAGGGCTGCACATGCTCTCCAGTAAATATCTCTTCCAGAGCCCTTGGGAGCAGCAGGCTCAGGGCCTGCGATGGTTGCTGCTCTGCTGTACCCTGCAGCAGCAGCCAGCGCCAGCCCGCCTCTCCCACGCCGCGCAGAGCTCGGCCCCACGCAGGGAAGAGCTCGCTGGTGCTGACATCCCCCGGGGAGACTCGGGATTGCCAGGACCGGCACAGCTGTGCGGCTTTGGAGTGGGAAGTGCTTCCTGCTGCAGCTGTAACAGGCAAGTTACTGCAGAGCAGGGCGCTGTCCCGGGATGCAGGTCTGGAGGTGAAGAGGAATGCTAAAAAAAAAACAGCAGAAACACGAGCTACCAGTCTCCACTATTCGGCTGAACACATGCCCTGAGAGGCACCTGGAAGACAGGGCTGATGTCAGGCCTGTGGGGGGTTTGTGTTGCTCATCTGCCAAGTCACGCCAGGGCTGAGTCTCTGCACTTACCTCAGCCCTCCCCAGAGGCTCGTGCTGTCACTGCTCCAGCCGTCATTGATCTTCATTGGGCTGGAAAGGCTCTCAGCCTGCAGGAGGGGATACGCTGGCCCAGAGCACCCAGGCACTGCAAATTTCAGTCAAGAGTTGGGACAGCTTTTGGCCGCTTTCCACAGCGATCTCCTGGGACTCTGCTAGGCCAGGACATAGCCACGGGCTGAGCTAACTCCTGCATGGTTTTGCAGTAAGGCAGGGCCACAGCATGGACACACGCACGCAGGGTTTGGAGTGGAGGGCTCACAGCCTCACTGTGCCTCTCTGCCTATGCTGCAGTAGGACCCGGCCAGAACCCGCCTACGTTAGACCCTGTGCAAGCAGCACAAATAAGCAGCGATTCATTTCACAGCCCCCAGTGCCCCTCCTCGCTGCCTGTGCTGATGCTACAGGAAAAGAACCATACCTGCTCGGCTGCCACTTCGGTGAGGCAGGCAAATCCCCCGGAGAAGCTCCCGAGTGGCTCCTCGGTACAGCCGAGCCCAGCAGAGCACACCCAGGCGTGGCAGGGTTTAGAACAGCCATCTCTGTGTAAGGCAGCAGGAGGTGAGTCCTGCGCAGCGCAGGCAGCGTGTTCATGCACACTGACAGCAAAAAGCAGCAGCGGGTTATGTCAAGCAGCCCCAGCAAATGAGCCTCTGCACCCCAGCTTCCCTCTTGTCTGGGCCCATGCCAAGGCCTTCCCTCAGCAAATCCCATCATCGTCCGCCTCCCAGCCCCACTGGGCCCTGTCTCACCCACCTTTACCAAACACCGGTAACCCCTGCAGCTAACAGACACGACCCACCAGAGTCCCACACCGGCCGGATTAACTCTGGCATCTGGCTGCACTACAGAAGGAGGATTTGTTAAAAGAGGCAGAAAACAAGAGACAAAGTATTTGTCATTTTGCAGACAAGCTCTAACAGGATGGGATTCAGGAACACGATTCATCCCTTAACAGCCACAGTGAAACACTTCAAGGCCCGTGCAAACGGCTTCGTGTCTGCTGCCTGTCCTGTGAGTGCCACATTGCCCCCTCCTGCAAAATCGCCACCTCTCTGTGCCACAGACTCACCCGGCTCGGCTGCACCTGCAGTCGCTCTCCCCTGCTCCGCAGCACCGGGCCTTCATGTCACCTTTTTCCCATCCTGACACACCTCTGGTTCAGGAGAAAGTCTGCTGCACTTCTCCCCGCTCCCTTGTCTTTGGCCAAAGCAAGGGCTGCTCCTAGAGAAAGCGCGCTCACCTCTGTCCTCTTTCAAGAACATACACACTTCCCTGTGACACAACAGTTTTCAGAAAAACCCACTTCAAAAGGGAGCACAAAATTCCTTTTTTACCTGCAAGCTATTAGCAGTAAATCCTTCTGTACTGTACGCAAATTCCCTCACACAACTGCAACCCTCCTCCTTCCAGCTGAAAGCCCCAGGATGTTTTGTCATGAGAAGCAACAGCGCAGGAAACTGGTGCTCCCTGTAATCTGCTGCCTCCTGTTCTGTCCGTGATGTTGGCCTGAACCTTTGGAGCAGCAGCAAAAATACACCACCCTCCATCCTCAGATCTGGGTGCTGCCCAGCCAGGCTCACTGTCCTGCCTCCAGAGCACCTGGTGCCAGAGGACACACTAAAATCTAGGAACAGCCAATATGGACAGGCTTTGCTGCAGTTTTTACTGTAACGCAGCAAAAACTAGCACCACCCTTCTGTAGCTGGGGCACAGCAGCAGGTCAGAAAAGTAAGGAAAACAATAAAAAAAGTCAGCTTGTAAATGAACTGCTTCCGAGGCAACGGGAATCCTGCAACAGCTGCTCTGGGCCACCCCATCAAAGGCATTAGTGTGATGGAAACAGAATGCTGATTTTCAGGTAAAAGGCACTAAAATCAGCACTCTTCCAGCAGAGTGCTAATACATGCCAGCAACTCACAACAGGGTGAGCACGCAGCGGCGTTCCAAGACGCAAGACTCCTGTTTCTTACTACATGGATCACTTCAGCATCGAGCTGTCTCAGAGCGCGCTGTATTTCACCAGGATCTGCACATGCACAAGCCGGCTGACAGATGAAGTTCCTGACCTTAACTCTATTTCATCACTCTGAACTCATGTACCAACAGGAAAACATGACGACTTTCCTGTTGCTCTGATCCACACTTACAATGCAACATGCAAAAAATTACTGTGAACACTTCAGATGAATGAACTCATCAATACATGCAATCCTCTCACTGAATACTCTGCTGATTAAGGACACAAGCACCTGCACAGGGCTGGCTGAACAAACTGGGTTTGTTTGGCCCCGAAACACAGAGACTAAGAGGGATTTTAATGCTTTCTACAGGTCGCTAATGAAAGGGCATAGAGAATAGACACAGGCTCTCCTCAGAAAGTGCACAGTGTTTGGAAAAAATGTAATGGATGCAAGCTGAAACACAGGAAATTTCAGTCAGGTGTTGATTTTGTTTGTTTTTTTTTTTCACTATGGGATTGGTCAAACACCAGAACAAAGGTCCAAAGAAGTTGTGGGATCTCCATCCTCAGAGATATTTAACACAAGACCCTGAGCATCCTTAACTAATTGGACCTCCTTTGAACAATGGGCTTGGACTAGAAACCTCCAGAGGCCCCTTCCAGCCTGAATTATTCTTTGACTGCAAGTTTAGAACCATAAGAAAGCAGATACTTCACTGTACTTCATGCCAATGGACCTCGAGAGAAGTTAAGCTTTCACGCAGTCAGAGGAAGTAAGCCCTGACAGTGCAATATCATCACCTCACTGCCTGATTCATCTCTACCCGAGCATTATATGCTGATAAACACCTACATTCTTCATTTATTAAATTATTATTTTTTCTTCTAACTGATCTTAACATGCAGCAGTAGTGTTAATAAGCACCTCACCATCTGTCAAGTAACTCTAAGACAACTTTCTAGGTGCTCTACTTATCTCCAACGTGCTTCACCAATACTAATTTTGCCTTCACGCCCATCCTCCCCCTCACCAACGAGGAAGTTGCATAACCCCAACGCCGGGAGCTGCTCGCCGACTCGTCCCGCGTGCGTGGGATTCCTGAGCGCGGGGCCGACGCTCCCACAGGGCAGCTCATGCCGTAACCCACAAAACCAGACGACTTACAGCCCTGCTGCAAGGGGCACAGAAGCGGAACTCTGGAAGATGGCAAGGGAAGGAAAAAAAGCAGAGCGTGACGGCATTAAGAGCCAGCGATCTGACCCTCCTGCAGGGTCCTTTTGGCTTTGCAAACTCACGTCAGGGTCGGGGCCCATCTCCTCAGGTGGTATCAATTGCCTCATCAGCACAGCTGCTCCACAACAAGCTGCTGCCAGACAACACCTGGGCCAGGCCAGGAGACATCACTAAAGCCTCCAGCTGCAGCTGTGCCTCCCTAGGCCAAAGCACACAGACAAAGAATTGCTCCCTTCTCAGCGGAGAACAAAGCAGGGCTCCTGACACTGTGGAAGCACTGAAACTTATCTTAAAGTCAGAAAAACAAGTACCAGGAAAAATATCTGCAGTCCATCTCTAAAAACATTAGCCTGATCAAAGGCAAAACTACACAGGACAAAGACACACAACAGAGAAAGACCAGTGCCCGAGTTTATTTTAAGCACAGACATTTCCCACTGAAATCGGGGAATAAAGGTTAAGAGTCTCTTTTGCCATCAGCAGAACGACACAGATCCCGTTTGTCAGGTCTGTCCCTTGTCACCAGTCTCTGGGAGGGCTTCCCCGCTTTCTCCCTCTGTGGGCTGACCTTGAGACCCGGTACCTGCCGAGCTTTCCAGAAGCAGTTCCACAGCTTCCTCACCAGCCACACGTCTCACCTTCTCCCCTTTGGCTGCCAGGATCTCCTCGATATTCCTTAACAGCGATTTGAAAACCAACAGTGACACCAGAGCAAAGGCCGGCCCTGAGAGCCAAGCGCAGGCTTGCTCCCCCACGCGCTGCTCTCAGGATTAACACGATGCAATGAATCGCACACGTGAGCGTCACCATGGCATTTCTCCACCAGGAGCTTGGGAAGCAGGTAAAACAACCTAAACCTTCTGGGACTATTTTCATCCCTTATAATTAGTAATTTAGCGACTATGGCTAAACAGAAATTTTAAAGGTATCCCCCAGAGTTAGAAATCACTGAAATTCAGCAGATGAGTCCACACATTTAAAATGCTTACCAGGGAAAGCCAGCAGTGATTTGATAAAGCCTGAGGCAGAACAGAACCCCACATGCAATAATTCACCTCCTGGCACCAGCAAAGGTGCCTGTACACCACACAGCTTCTGCTGTAGCTTTACACTGTTTATTTGGATCCTAGGTAGCAACAGTCACATCACAGGACATAAAACTCAGTTTGTTTTTTGTTTTTTGTTTTTTTTTTTTTTAGAACTCAGTTCTTTAAGAAAGTGGATGAAACAGAATTATACCCTGCAAAAACTTCGTTTTTTTCTGAATCACATTTTAAAATAATGAAAGATTATGTGATTCTTTTAATAAATAAAATAAAATATCAAAGAAATAATATATCAGCTAAGGACGACCCAGTTATAACCGCGCTGTCCCTTCCCCTGCCCGAACAAGCGCACAGTGGGTGCAGCTACCTCTTTCCTTCCAGATCTGAAAACCAGCCCAGGTTATCAGCCATGACATGGTGATTCCCGCAGCCGGGACACTTCACTATCACCACCCCGTTGTGGTAGGCTAACTTGGAAATTGTTTTTGCTGATCGGGTCCGGCAGACCTACAAAGCGAACAAAATGCATTTTATGAGCGCGGTAACTGCAGTTTCTGAACCTTTTGAGCGAAAAACATTTTGCTTACCCGATGAAAAGGCTTCTTTCCCTCTCCCTCGTCTCTAACGACTGCAAGGCGACTCGATCGTGTGGCGATGCCGCGTGGCTTCGTACTAACGGTACTAACGTGCCCCACGGGCCGCGTCCCGCCCCCCCTTACCCCTTTTCTCTGGGAGAAGTTTACCTCAGCCCGCAGCGCCCGGCGCCGCCCCGCTCACCTTGCAGGTGTACACCAGGCGGTAGTGGGTGGCCCGCGGCCGCCCCGGGGCGGCGGAGCTGCAGGCCGGGCGGCGGAGCAGCGGGGCGGGCGGGGGACGGCGGGGCCGCGGCGGCGGAGCGGCGCGGAGGAAGGCCGCGACCAGAGCCCGCGCCGCGCGCTGCATGGCGGCGGCGCAGGCGCGCGGAGGGGCGGGCGTTGAGGCGGCGGCCGCCATCTTGGGCGGGGCAGCGGCCATCTTGGGTGCGGGCAGGCGGCGGCCACGGCCCCTTCCGCCCCAGCGCGGGAGCCCGGGAAGCCGCAGCAGGAGCCCCGGCCCGTGGGTCGGTGGGACCGGCGGCCGCCTCCCGGGACCCAGGCCGAAGGCTCAACAGCGCCGTGCAGGAGCAGGGCTTCCTCCCTCAGCAGGGGCTTCACACCAGGGACCTGCCTTCAACGAGCGGGCAGCTCCCACGGGGCCTGTGGGGAGAGGTCACACACCCAGCCTCAGGGCTGTGGGCCTGCAACTGTTTAATCTTGTTTATTTTATTTGTGCGCTGCACACCTCTCGCATCACTGCTTTCCCTAAGAGGGAAACGGACGAGGGCATGCCACAGCTAAAAAATACTGTCCCATTACAAACGTTAACTTTCCATAAATGTGTGTTTAGATGGTTTTAAAACCAAAGCAGTCCATTGCCAGAGAAATACAGAGGGCAGGGCAGCCCCCAGAGCAGGCTGGCTGCCCCTCTCAGCAGCCTTCGGTGTCGGTGTTGTCGCTGCCCGTGGTGTTCTCCCAGTCTGCCTCGTGGTGTCGGTCCTTGGGTACCCTTCGCATTGCTCTTTTCCTGAAAATGAAACTAGGCATTTCATTTTTGGAAGAGGGATTCTGTAAACAAGTGGCATTTGAGTTCAGCAGGGAGGTTCAGTATGTATCAATGGACTTAGTGTTTAACTGAACACGATGGTTTGCTCACACACACCCACCATAAAGCTGTGTATAGGGTAAAGAGAATTCATCTGAAGTGATAAAGACATTCTTAAATTTCTTGAAGTGTGCTATATTGCTGATGTTCAGTTGAAGAAGCCAAGAAACCCCACCCAAAGTCCTTTCTTTAATAAAAATAGCATTGTCAAGAGTCAGAAGAATAGTTTACAGTGCCATTAGAAGCACTCCTATCTAATGCTAGAACTAAGGTCCTTGTTTTACAAGGTTTTCATTGGTCTCATGCTCCATAAAGGCAGCAACGAGTGAAGGCAACCAGGCATGTAGAGAACAGGCCTTCAAACGAGTATTCAAAGAGGACAGGGGGTGGAAATCTGCTCCCATTCACAGCCATGGGAGCTTGGTTTTGAGTGTCAGCAGCATGTCAGATGGATGGTGAAGGTCCAATTTCATTCACAGAGGAGAAATCTATCAAATTTATTAAACTAGCACTTTGGAGCACCCTCCGCTCCTTGCTGTTGAGCCACCTTCATCACCCAGAGCAAATGCTATCACTGCTATCCTGGCTACTGCTGGTACTAAAACTAGAAGCATGAGCCTTTGAAGATAAGATCTGTAATGAATTTATGCCCTCCATGAATGAAGCCTGGGGACAGGGGAGGGACAGGAAAGAAGAAATACATGGAAGCTACTAATCAGTTAAGTCACATGGGTAAGTCTGAATTAGTCCTGCTTACTAAAGTCCAGACCTTCGGTAACGCTCAAAGCAGTCCTTCATCCTCCTCCGCTCCTTTTCTGCTAGTTCTTCATTGGCTAAGCTACACTCCTTGAACTGAAAAAAAAAAAAAAAAAAAAATCCACACAAATAGTAACTGGATTCCCCTGAAGATCAATGTTATCACCAAGTAGTGCAAACCTGCTCTAAAAAGGTAGCTGGTTTTGAGGCTGATGTACTGCCTCTGGCCTCTGCAGGGTAAAAGGCTGCAGACCACTCAAGGAAGCCTGGTCATTTCTCCTGACTTATTGGTGCAATGAATCATTTTATATTTAAATTGAAGGAGAAAAAAAAATGGGTCATCTGAAGGCATAGGTTCCAAGAACAGTGTTCACTGCCAAAACCCACGTCCAGGAAAGCAGTCCACTGTGTACAGCTGGCTTCCTGCATCTGCTTGGGCCTGCAGAATGAAGTAAAAGGGTGTTCATTTCTGGGCTCTCCACTATTGTGTGTGCATGATGGTAATACATCTGTTTCACATAGTTTTACCATCTTTATTCTCTCCCATTTGTAAATTTGGGATTCTGTTTCCTGTACCAACAGTAATACTGTAGACAATTAAACTGGAAAGCATCCACACCCAGACATGAATGCCAGAAAATAATTAGAAGTTCCTAGGCACAGATGGAGAAATAACCACCATAAGTGTTCTGCTGTTCAGAGCTCACCCTTTTTGGAGGGTGAATTTTGCACAAAGTGCTCAGATTTTGGAAAAGCAGTAGCTCCTTACATGCTTCTCAAACTTGGTAAATCCATTAATAACAAGAACATTAAAGATCACAAACCCCTCTGTAAAGAGCCCACAAAGATTCTCTTACACTGGGTGACTTTGGTGGCAGACTGTTCTCTCGAGCGCTATATTTCTGGTTTTGTCCTTCAGGGCAATCTTCTAAGAAAAGAAAAAATCCCAGCTTTAGTCATAGTTGCCATTTCAAAGTAACTTCTCCCTCTGCCAGTTCAAACAGCAAGAGCTGTAACGTAACAGCTGCCCAGCACTACACAGGATCTACAGCAGAACTGAAACCAAGCCTCAAAATGTTCAGGATTCAGTCCTGTGATCAATGCACGAGTCACTTCTCATTTTACTTGAACCATGAATCTTGCTTAGGATGATGGAGTTCCCCATCAGGCTCAGAAAGAGACAACAGCTTTCTAGTTTCTGCTTATGCAGGAGCAAAACAAACCTCTGCAAAGTGGCACCTCTGCTTAGCATAATTAAAAAAGAAAAAAAAAATCATGTTAGAGGTCACCACGAGAAATCATGTTAATTATTATTTTAACCATAATTTGTCCCTGTTCCCCAACAAGTTGTGCATATCAACGCACTTCAGACCATATTCTTGTGAAACTCCTTATGTAGTTGGTGATCAGGAATCGTGATAGGGTGAGATAGAATAATGAAAGGCTTTTTGTATCAGTGTTGTTTAGCTTTTGTGAAAAATTTCCCATCTCAATGAATGAAAAGATCATTTAGATCTTTCAGGAGATCAGAATAGAAAATTTCTTCTACTATGCTAGTTTTCTTCCTATCTCAACATGTTTTGAAAGAGAATTTCAAGTTCTTAGAGGAGCCTCTTAATTTCTTTCCACTCTGCTGAATCATTTCCACTGAGGATGGCACAGAAACAGAACCAGTGGCAGCGTTAACTACATGGTTCCGCTTTTGTGAAAATAGCTTGCAAAATAAAAGGGAAGAGGGGAGGGAAAAATCCCTGGAGAAAGCCACGTGGTCCAGCTGAAGTGGAAGGATTGTTTGGTCTGTTCTCAGCTCTGCCACAAATGCAAGAAGAGGGGGTGGGGGTGGAGAGGCACCCAGGAAATATTTCTCAAGGGCACCATGTACCAGGTGGTTTTTGCTGGACAAATTTAGTAGACAGATTGCCTCAAAAAACCCACTCAAGGTCCTAGGATGGTCTAACGATACCACTTTTCCCAGGTCATTCAGCTATATGAAAGACCCTTTCAGAGGCTATGTAGTAAAAAGACAGCCCACGGAGCTTTTTCTCTCAAAAAAGCTTTACAAGCATTTGCTATTCTCAGAATTTGACATGTTCTGCTTTTTATAGGTGAGGAAGATGGTAGTATGGCGGATGCCTTGATTTATGAGTACCTATTCTGCGTCACCTCAAGGCCTTTGCTCTGAGTGCAAGCACACCCCACTGAGAAGCCTCTCACAAACTGAATCACCAGTCAGACTACCTGTTCTTCACTAAAAATAAAACCCAGGAATGTCTTTGCCTGTCCCTTTGAAACGCTGGACCATCCTCTCACAAATTCTACTCTGCGTTTTCCCAAGAAAAGCCTTACTTGTAGTTGGTTGTCTATCTTCATCTAGATGACCGTGAAGAGTAAGCTATGGGACAAAACCAAAGTAAGAACATGAGAAGTGCCCCTTATTCTGTTTCACAGAGTAGCTAGGAACAAATGGAAGAATAAAAGAAAGAGGACATGCATAGAAATGACCTTCCCTTAGTACACCTTGCTGTCAGCAAAACAGAAGACTGAGCCAGAAGTTACAGATCTACTCATGGATTTAACCTCCATGAATAGATCGTGTTCCTTTGGCCTCATTTAGACTTTTAGCCTCCAAACAATGTGACAATCACTTCCACACTGAAGTTATGAACTAAGTGAAAACTCTTTACTATAGATGTCCCTGAGGTAAGACTTATTTTTGCCTGTTCTCCCACAAAAGAGACAATTAGAAGCAACTCAAAATAATTCAATTCCCCTGATTTGCTTAGACTCAGCAAATTTTGCTGACTAATGCCATAACTGTGTCTTACACTTAGAAATCTCAGGACACAGAGAGATTCCATCACTGGTCTGGTTTGCTGCCTCTTTACTTTTTTATATCACTGAAATGAGCCTAAGCCATGGATTGAAAACCGCTGTTACTTAGAGAACTGAGCACAAGTGAGGAATTTGAAGCCATCTCAGAAGAAAGTAAAAGGTAAACAAGGCACGCTACTCACTTCCTGGGAATCTCTGGAAGAGGTATCGTCCAGGTCAGAGGTCTGAAATAAAATCAGCATAAATTAATCATTCCTTATAAGCAAGAAAGTGGTAGTAAGGGAATATACAGGAGACCGAAAGCTGCAGAAAACAGGGAAGTGTGGACTTTCTCCCTCCTACACTCCTGTCTGACCACTTAGAGAAATTACACAAGATGCCACACTAATTAAAAGCCCCTGTATATCTAATTTAATTCCAGAAACCTTAGCACCCTTATATCCTGCTCCCAATTTCATCCAAATGGCTCATACACGGTCTCTAAATAGAGTTCACTCTTTGGTGGTTGCGGATCCCCTCATCGTCTTTGGACACTTTTCAGGCACAAATACAGAAGGCTTCAGCTTGCATGAGTCTAGCTTATCTACTCTTGGAACTAGGATGAGGTAATAGGAACCATCACGTCTTTCATTTGTCTAAACTTAGCATTTGCATGGAAATGGTTACCCATGCAACTGGCCACTGCCTACTGAATTTGAAGTGGTCAGGTGCAAAGGCCTCAGAACAGCCACGCTCTGGCCCCATACTCAGCTTCCCAACCCATCTCACAGATGACAACCCTGGAGGCATACCGGTGTGGGTAGCTCCAGTTGAAACCTTTTCAGCTTGGCTTCGGTAGCCAGTAACTGACTCTCCTTTTGGAAGAGCTGCAGTTGCATTTCGTCACATCGCTCCTGCAGTTCCCGAATCTGCTTGCGGTAAGCGTCCCTCTCAA